AACATATGTTCAAAGTAAAATGAAAGTATAATGAAAATTTTAAGAAGTTTTCAAATATAATAATTACAACATTAACTTACAAAGAATAATTTTATTTATTACTTTATTCTATCATTATAATTAAACTTTTGATAATTAAAAAAATAAAATATTTGATAATTAATTAAAATTATTTTATTGAAATGAATTTTAACACATAAATAATAAAAACATAATTATGAATTATAATTATTTATAATTCTTATTTATATTCTTATTAAATTATATTTAATAAGAATTTATTAAGAATATTAAATAAAGTTTAACATTTATGAACTATTTTTATTTATTATCAAAATAAAAAAAAGCAAATATATAATTCTTATATAATATATATAATAAATAATTATCATTTTTATATATTGTTAAATATGAATCTTTGCAATATTATTATTTATATAATATTATGCACAAAGCTTAATGACACAATATTGTTATTATATATGCTGAATTTACCTTCATTGCCAAAGAGACTCCACAATTTTGAAAATAATAATCCCATATTGCTTAAAACATTAAATCACTCAGTGTTAATATTTATTTAAACGTATTTCTATATAATCATATATTCTGTAATCTTTTTCTCGATAAAAAAGATATATATATTTGGTTTCAGAAATGGAATATCTCATTGTCAAAGGGTTATGTACACTTTTTTATCAAATTCTTTTTCAACATATTTATGATAAATTCATTATTAATACTTTATAATATGAATTATATATCTAAGAATTGTTGCAAATTGTTAAAAATACACTAAGGATAACCCAAAAGTGAAAGAAATATACGAAGACCTTCCCTAATCTAATCAAGCAAATCGAGACATGTTGCATTTCCAATTAAAACATTCGTACGTGCGATGCGTCCAATCATTGTTTAGTATTAACTGAAAGTGATGTCAGTCTTGTATATACGTATATTGATTGGGAGTATAAAATTCACAATTGAAGGCGCGTAACATATAAATTTATTTGAAATGGTTAGTTATTGTCACATAATATTAATATAATCAAGTTGATTTCGCTGAATCACTATCTATATTCTTTTCAAAAAACAAGAGAAATAAAAATAAAAATCTAGAATAAAATCTGTAGGTAACTATAAAAATTTTTAATATTCATCGATAATAAATTACTATTATTTTTTAAATTTTAATATTAAATTAAAAAATATTAAATAATATTAAAAATACAATACAAAATTAATCTAAACTTTGCAATAATAAAAATTTTGTTATATTATATAATAGTTTAATATTTTGATATTTTATAGATTAAACTATCAATATCAAATTTTCAAATAAAAATTATTAATTAATGTAATTAGTTTTATTATTTCTTTATACATCTTTATACATTATGATATTTATAATATAAAATTGCTAATATAATAAAAAATCAAAAAAAAAATTTTTTTCATAAATTAAATTTTTAGTAATGAATTTAATAAAAAGTTGAATATTCCATTAATTATATTACGTTTTTAATATATCTAAATAATGATAAAATTATGAAATTTTCATAACAATGTTCCCAGTGTGTAACAGTGTGCTGACCTTGTTGGACGTTGCGATTGGCTTACGAAACGTCGGCTGATTTCGAAGTTACTCCAATATGAATGTTCGTTCATTCTTAATCTTCGTGGTAAAGCGTTCGGCCACTTGTTGATTCTTTAAATTATATTACAAAGAAGAAATAATACATTATTTTTGAAAAATTATAATGAGTAAACCGTAAGTATAAGTTTTGTATTATTTTCAATAAATTAAAAATTTAGATTTGTAAAAACTTGATAATTTGATTTATATAATTATTTTTTGTTAGAATAAAATTTAATAGATAATCAATAATTAACCAATAATTAATTAATCGATTTCTTATTTAAAAAATAAGAAAAGTAGATACAAAAAGTAGTACAGATAGTATATATATATATTGAAAATGAAAATGAAAATTAAAATGAAAATTGAATTAAAAAAAATTTTTTTCTTATCACATTTAGACATTAAAATATATATATTTCTTAGATAATATATTTTTTGTGATATATAATTTAATGAAAAAATATATTTTATATTATAGAAGTGCTGATATTGCCCTTATTGGGTTGGCTGTTATGGGTCAAAATTTGATCCTAAATATGAATGATCATGGATTTGTTGTATGTGCCTACAATCGTACAACAGATAAAGTTAAATCTTTTTTGGAAAATGAAGCCAAAAATACAAAAGTTATTGGTGCATATACATTGAAAGAAATGGTAGACAAATTAAAATCACCAAAAAGAGTAATGCTTTTGGTAAAAGGTAAAGTTCTATTATAAATTTTGTTTTAAAATTATAATTTGACCTTGAGATAAACTATTATTTGTTTTAATTATATATTATTTAAATGTTTATATATAATAATTAAGTCAATATATAATAATTAAATAATATACAAATTCAATTTAATTTAAATATTTAATATATAATAAATATAATAAATAATAAATATTTTTAATAATATATATATATAAATATATATATATATCTTAGCTGGTGCAGCTGTGGATGCATTTATTGAACAATTGATACCTTTATTATCCTCTGGAGATATTATCATTGATGGTGGTAATTCTGAATATCAAGATACTGATAGACGAACTAAAGAGTTAGAAAAAAAAGGAATTTTGTTTGTTGGTAGTGGTGTTAGTGGAGGAGAAGATGGTGCTAGATATGGACCATCTTTGATGCCAGGTGGTAATCCTAAAGCTTGGCCACATATTAAACCCATTTTTCAGGTTTAGTTGAAATATGATTATTTATTTAAAAATTAAATAATATTAATCTTATCATAGATAAGATTAAATATATATTGATAACAAAATATTTTTTTTTAGTCAATCTGTGCAAAAGTCAATGGAGAACCTTGTTGTGACTGGGTTGGAGAAACAGGTGCAGGACATTTTGTAAAAATGGTACACAATGGCATAGAATATGGCGATATGCAACTTATTTGTGAAGCATATCACATTATGCGTAATGGTTTAAAACTTAATCCAGAAGAAATGAGTCAAGTGTTTGATGATTGGAATAAAGGAGAACTTGATTCATTTTTAATTGAAATTACTCGAGATATTCTTAAGTACAAGGATGAAAAAGGATATTTATTAGAACAAATTAGGGATACAGCTGGTCAAAAAGGAACTGGAAAATGGACAGCTATTGCAGCATTAGATTATGGAGTACCTGTAACTTTAATAGGAGAATCAGTTTTTGCTAGGTGCCTTTCTGCTTTACAAAGTGAAAGAATAGAAGCAAGCTCAGTATTAAAAGGTCCTGATGCTATATACCAAGGTGACAAAAAACAATTCCTAGAGCATTTGAAAAAAGCTCTTTATGCCTCCAAAATTATTTCCTATGCACAAGGTTTTATGCTATTACGGGAAGCTGCAAAAATTCATAACTGGAATTTGAATTATGGTGGTATAGCTCTTATGTGGAGAGGAGGATGTATTATAAGAAGGTACATATATATATTTATATTGAAATTTAATATTAAATAATAAAAAAATTTTAGTAATAGTATTTTATCATATATTTATTTTTAGTGTCTTTTTGGGCAATATAAAAGCAGCATTTGAAAAGAATCCAAAACTTTCAAATTTATTATTGGATGATTTCTTTACTAAAGCAATGACAGAATGTCAAGCTAGTGCTAGAATAGTAGTATCCACAGCTGTAACATTAGGCATACCAACTCCAGCATTATCAACTGCTTTAGCTTTTTATGATGGTTATAGAACTGCACGACTTCCAGCAAATTTACTTCAAGCTCAACGAGATTATTTTGGAGCTCATACTTATGAATTACTTGGTCAAGAAGGAAAATTTGTACATACCAATTGGACTGGACATGGTGGAAATGTATCTGCTTCTACATATGATGTTTAATAATTATGATTATAATTTTTAATAACAAAATGTATATATTTAATATTATATATGATAAATGTATTTATATGTATTATATTCAATAATACATAAATGATTGTATAAAATCACAAAAGATTTTGTTCAAACAAAAATAAATTTATTAAAAAAATATATATATATTAATATATATATATAAATTATTCATTTTCTCTTATTAAATTAATAAATTGGTGATTTTTGAAATATTGTTATTTATTTATTTTTTGTTTTTTAATTGTGTATATTAAATTATCTTATTAAATTATACAAAATAAAGATATATATATATATACAATATAAACCAATCAGATTTAAAACAATATATATTTATACAAAAAAGCAATAATAATTAGTAATGCATGTCTCTTTTATATAAAAAAAATTGTATTATAAAAAAATAGTAAAGCATAATTTGTCAAGTCAATTCAACAAATCTTGTGAAATGTGGAAGTAATTTAATCTAACCTAGCTGTTGTTACAATTATTAATATATTATATTTCCATTAATAAGGTATTGATATCATTTTATAATTTTAAGAATATTTTATTTAATGTAATAAATATTTAGTTTTTAATTTTAAACTAAAAAGTTAGTAAAAATGGAATATTTTGACTTAACAACACCCATATTGACTAAAATGGAAATCCAAGTAAAAATAATTTCGCGCCATGAGTCATCAAAGTCAAATAAAACTTCATAAAACTAGCAAATATACAATTAATATAAATACTAAATATTTCTTATTTTATTTTCTTCAAATTAAAATATATGAAATATATATGATTATATTTGAAAGAAATCTATGTTAATAATTTAATAATACAATTTAATTTATTTTGAAAAATATTATATTTAAATAGAAATGTAAAAAATTTATGCTGTGATATTATAAAAATAAATTTATAGTAGCATTAAACATATAATTAACACTGTATATATTTTGACAATTAAGATTTGAAAGATACTATTGAGAAAATGAAATCATAGAACCCTATTTCAGCCGTCCCTGAAGCGCATCGGTTTTACTGACCGTAGACGGGCGACGTAGTCTGCATCATTCATTTGCAAAATGGCTGACCATAGGGAAAGGGATTCATATTATTCGCAAACGGATTTAAGATCAAAAAATGATGATCCACCGAATTCACGTTTATTTGTTATATGTCATAAAAGTCTGGAAGAAGATGACCTCAGAAAAGCTTTTGAAAAATTTGGAAAAATCGAAGATATTTGGGTGGTTAAAGATCGTATTACAGGGGAAAATAAAGGTAATTCCTCTTGTCTATAGAAGAAATCAATAAGACTTTACTTTATTTTTTAATATTTTTTGTATATTTTTAAATTTATTTATATAATTTTTATTTATGAAAATTGTTTATTTATATATTTTTTTATATCATCATTCAAACATTTTAAAAGTGATTCATTGTTTACGTAGGAGTTACATACATTAAATTTTCGAAAACATCAGAAGCAGCTTTCGCATTGGAAGAAATGAATGGAAAAATGTTGGGTTCTGTTGGAAGACCTATTAAAGTAATGATTGCATCAAAGTAAGAATTTAAATAATTAATAAGATAAGAAGAATTAATTTTTAGTTCAGAAAGATTTTTTAAAAGATTATTTTTTTTAGTATACAATATTATTGATAAATATAAAAATGAAGACAATTGTTTCAGTCGTGATCAAGGATCTGTCAGAGAAACGAATGAAGAAGAAAGATGGGTTCGTTTGTTTTGTGTGTTACCTAAATCTATGACAGATAGTGAACTTCAACAAGAATTTTTAAAATTTGGACCTATTGAATATGCAACAGTGGTTAAAGATAGGAATACAAATGAATCAAAAGGCTTTGGTTATGTGAAATTTAAAAAAGTATCCAGTGCAGCAAAAGCATTTGAAGAATGTGATAGAAAATATAAAGCTGTATTTGCTGAACCAAAAAAACCAAAACCTGAACACATTGATGTAAAATATAATAATGGATTATCTTCTCATTATGATAGTACTAGTGGAGGTTATAGTTCATCAAATTTTGGAAAGAGTAGTATTAGTTTAGAAATTGCTACAAATTATCCTAATTCTGAAGGTTATACACATTTACAAGTAATTGCACATCCAGCATTAAATCAAGATCAATTATGGAAGTTATTTGATATTGTACCTGGATTGGATTATTGTCATTTGAAAAATGATGTAAGATACAGAATGCCAAGAGGTCAGGCTGTTGTCGTATATTCTAATCCTAGTGCAGCAGCATATGCAAGAGAAAAATTTCATGGTTTTGAATACCCACCTGGCCATAGGATGATAGTAAAACCAGATTTATCAAGTGCACCTCCAAAAAATGCAATAAAACCTGGAAGTTCTGGTGGAATTGCTAGTGCTAGGACAGATTTAGCACATTTAGCTGAAACTATTGCTCAAGCTACATCTTTAATTCAAGCTGCAGGATTAACTGCACCAAGTGAGAAATTATTTTGTCTATGTAATGTAATAATGTATAATATTTTTATATAATTATATTTTTACATAATTAGGTTTAGAGCATTCAATGTGTGTTAAGTTACCACCTGTGCAACCAATGGCTAGTATAGATGCAGAGGTTGCTAAAAGATGCTTTATTGTATGTGGGCCTCCAGTACCTCCCATATATGCTATGAAGGATGCTTTTTGCAGATTTGGAAATCTTATAGATGTTTATATGCTTCCAGGAAAAAATTGTGGTTATGCAAAATATGCTAGTGTGGAAAGTGCAAATGAAGCAATTGAGGTATGTTTTATCAATTACAATATACAATTACAATAATTCCTAAATAAAAAATAAAATTAAGTAGACTAATTAATTCATAAAATTATATTGTTTTATAGGTTTTGCATGGACAAGAAATTTGTGGATCTCGACTAAAAGTATTGGAAGCAGAAGAGCGCAATGTCGGTGAAGATCGTAGAAAACGATTACGGACGGACGAAGATGAAAATTAAATTATTTTTGTATATCTCGTAAGTAAATCGTCGAATACAAGACAAAAAGAAAGGAGGGAAAGAAAAAGGCATTTAAATATTAACACCCTGACGTTGTAACTGACGATAACTTTACTTAAAAAACAGGAGAAAATGTAATTTTTCTATTTGTCTTCACAGACTGACTGGTATACACAAGCTGGACGCAATAAAAGAGACGAATTTTAAGACTCACTTGACCACGTCGGGCCCGCATCCAAGGAAACTACTCCAACTACCTACTTTTAACTACCGCTTACGTTCGCGATTTCAACGTTACTGAAACTTTAACGCTACTTTACTTTATCCTTACATGTCGTTACACATATACACACATACACATGACTTCCTGGTTTTATTATTTTATTGAGGCCTGTGCGAAAAGTGAAAAAGAAATTAAATTAATTTAAAAATTCATTTTATAAATATATGGAACATATAAAATTAGTTAAATTTATTATAATTAATTTAATTCTTTCCTTTAACATAAGGAAGATATATGATGCAATATATTTAAAGTGCGCATTTATTGTTATATGATAATATAATATAGATTAATCAGAAGTAAAAGGTAAAATCTCTTTCAATGCATATATTTTTGTATTAAATTGCAATTAAAGTTTATTTAAACAAATTAAAAAAAAATAAATTAATTCATTTTTAAATTAATGAATGATTAATAAATCAATAAATAAAAGAAACAAATGTTTCTAGAAAGAAAATGAAATTATATTTTAATATTTTATATCCTTGTTTATAAAACAAGGATTATATTATTATTAATTATAATATTAATTTTAGCTATTCGTGCAGGCTTTAAAATATAACCTATGCTTTAGAATTAATAATATATGTTTTTGTTTATTATTTATATCCGATAGTACTGTATAATTCTTTTATTAGCTATAATATGTATGAAAGAAAACGTAAAGTAATTTATTTCTTGTATGTATTTCAAGAAATATTCGAATTTCATAATGACAAATAATAATATATTTCATAGAATTAAAATTTCAAAATAAGATTTATTCCATAGAATAATATTTATTTTTGTGAGTATTTTGCAAATGTAATTTTGTATGTTATAATATAGTATTACATAAAATATAAATTGAAATTATATTTTTTTAACTATAAATATAGTAAATGCAAATATAAAAAATATTTTTATGTGTAAAAGATATATTTGATAAAAGTAATATTAAATTTTATCATAAGTTACAATAATTTTAATTTTAGTTACACAGTAAAATATTTAATTCAATTTTAATATTAAATATTAATTCAAATTTAATATTAAATATTTGGAAATATTTCATTCAGTTTTTTCTAAATAAAATTAGTTTCTTTGAATACACAATTACAGATGTAAAAATAAAAAAAAGATTTTGGACATTTTCTATGGAAATATTACACGTAAATCTTGTTTTGGAATCAATATTCATGTGTATAGATGTATTTTGCAAATATTTTAATATGTTAGTTTTTACATTTAGATTTCTTTAAAAAAAGTACATTTTCTTAGAGAATTAATATGTTCATGATCACAAATCGTGAAATACCAATATATAATTAACGCACAACATGAACATTTTATGATGGACATTTTGTACATGTATTAGACTGTTCTACTCAATGACTATACGCAATGATGTTTTAGGAGACTGTAACTGACTTGTTTGATGATATTAAAATACACATTGAATATTCAAAATCTCACACTGATTTTCACTTAATTTTTTTTTACACAGAACAGAATATCTTACTTTGCATTATATATTTATAATTTACTAATTTGATATATTTTTTCTTTTATCTTTCAGGATATCTAAAGGATTCAAAGATGTGTACCTGTGATGACTGTGATATAGCAGAGTAAGATATTACTACCATTGTGTATATGAAGCTTAAAATATAAAGAATAAATTATAATTTTATATATTTTCTCCTTTTTATTACTGAACGAAGATTTATATCAGAGGATTATTGTATTTGCACTCATTTATGCATTTCACTTTTATACTGCACTTTTAAAGTATACGATGTTTATAATTTATTTTTTGCATATTTCTTTGATATGTTCATAAAATGTGCAATAAAATAATTTTTATAGAAAAACGGTATATGATGTTATATTTAATCGATTCCCGAATCATCGGTTAGATTTGAATTGAAAAGACAAAAAAATTGACCAGTAGGTGTCGCAATGTGTAATACATAAGAAAAAATTTTCGCGCCAGTAAAATACATTGAAATTAAGCGTAAAGTCATGGGGAGATTATTTTAATCGTGTTCATCGTTTGAGTGGTTTAAGTGAGGCACGTTTTGCATCAATATAGGTTAACAGTGAAATAGAGGGGGTAACAACTCACGTGTTACCGAACGTGCAGCGTTATGCGGAACAGTCACTCGGATAGATATGTGATGTTCGGTGTAGTTCAGTCCTCAGAGATATTACTGTCTAGTACGCATCGTAGTGTTTACTATATTGTGAAAATAACAGAGAAAAAATTAGTGAAAACATTTGTTTTTCATTTAATTTACTGATTTTTTATAATCGATTAAATGGTGCATTATTTTTAATTTAGATAGTGAATACGAATATATTTAAAAAATACTATCCCTTTTCGTTCATGTAAATATAAACAATTTCTTCGTGTTTTTTCTTTATCATTTTTATAACTTTTACCGCCAAGAAATATAGAAATGACATGTGAACGAGTTTGATTTAGTAGCAGTGTTGTGATTCAACGGATATTATCTGAAAGAGAAACTACCCTTAGAAGAGAATGATGGAAGAGATATCCACTGAAAATGCTAAGGTGTCGGATTCTGGATATTCTAATACTTGTAGTAACAGTCAATCACAACGGAGGTATGTATTGAATTCTTTTAGTGTTTGATTCTTTAATTTTTTTTAAGTACTTTAAATCCTATTATATGACATCAATTTTAATATGGCGCCATCGATTTTAAATTATGAATTTTAAGCAACTTATAAATATTAGTATAATACTAGTTTTTTTACTTATAATCTTTCTTTCATGATATCAACACAAAAAATATAACGAATATTAATAAGTATTAATAATTATTATACTATCTGATTTATTTTTCTTAAATAATACATAAAAAAATATAAATAAATTGAAAAAAATTTATTTAATATAAATATTAATATTACAGAATATAAAAGCTAAAAGTTATATAAGTTGTTAATTAAGAAATATTCATTAATTTATTCTTATTAAGTTATATACATCATGTGCAATTTATTATGTGAAATATTATTATGTACAAATATTATGTGAATATTCATATTGCACATTATCAATATTTTAATTCAAATATAGACATATAAGAAAAACAATGTGTGTGTGTGTGTGTGTGTGTGTATGTATTCCTATAATTTTTTTTCTATCTTTTCTTCTATTTAAAAAATATAAGATTTAATTTTTCATTGATTTTCTAATTAATTCTGATTTTATTTTTGTGATTGATTAAATGAATAGTTGCATAACTTCTATTTGTACAACATATATTTAAATATTATTCTATATGATTGTTCAAAATTAATCAAAATAAATTTTCGATTAAATGTTAGTGAAATCTACATCAAATGATGTGGATTAACCAATACATCACTTTACATGATAAAAAGCGTCGATATATTAGAAGTGCAATTTTTAATTGCGATTTGAAATCTTATGAAAGATTTAAGAAAATTTTATAACGATTTGTATATACAAACTTGAAGAAACTTCTATAATTTGAGTTTTTTATGTTTTGTGTAATTAATTTTCAATATTCATTTATAAAATTTAAATTTTATAATATATTATTGAAAAAAAACGAATTAACCGAATGATTTAACAATTGATATCACAAATCTATGAATTGTACATATATATACAAAATCTTATAGTTCAATATTTAGAATTACAATTATCTATATATTTTAATATTTTGATATTTTAATATTTGATATAATTTTGAAATGTATTGAATTATTGATAACATAATATTAAACTATAATTTGAAATAGTATGAGTGTAAATTTCATTTGCAAGAAAATCAATTGATCAAATTATTGGATTTTTAAAATTTGATCACATATATCTACAAAATAATGATTGTAACCAAAAAATCAATCATTCTTCAATTTCATTAGGAATCTTGGATGCATATGATTTATGAATTATCATCTTGATAATTTTCAAATTAAACGGATTGAAAATTTACAGGATTTTAAAGGATATTCAATATAACATTACCGCAGGATATTGGCATTGACACGCTTTGTCGATGATGTAGGTGAGAGGTAAACGAAAAATACGGCGAACAAGAAGGATAGAAACTCGAACACTACGGTTAAGGCTAACTAGTTTCTAACTAGACGAAGTATGCATTTCTACGTTCGCATTTAATACACCTAGGCACAAGTTGTGAAATCCGATGAAAACAGGTTGAACGAATGCAAAGTATATGCGAGATCAGTGATTACCATATTCACAAAACTATTTAATTGAAATTCTTTTAAATTTCAAGTTGTTTAAATCAGTAATTATATTGTTTTTATAAATATTTAAATGTTCAGCATTTAGACTTTCTATCTTTTAATCCAAAAAATAATTTGGCTTCTTTTATAATATCAGAAAAAAAGTGTAACAATTCTATGATCGTTGAAATTTGAAATATATTCTTCTATTAAGTGATTTTTTTTTTTTGTAATACTTTATTCTTTTTTCAATTATCATATTTTTCTTAATGCGATGGTTCCTTGGCATTATTGTGGTATCGTAATAAAACTTCGAACAAAATCGATAAATCAATCAATTTGTCGTTCGATGGGTTTTAGTCACGGGGCCACGAGCGTGAAACAGACCTTCTTATGCAATAATTTTTCTTATCGAACGAGGTGCAACAAATGTAGAAGCCTCGTGCTCGTTCCCTGGAAAATAATGAGGACAGTGAAAGGCCAGAAAGACTCCGTCGTAAGGGCCGATCATAGTAGTCACGTTTGCCGAACATGTGATCGGTCCTTTTTTTTTTCCCATTCCGTAACTGGTTTCAAAGATTTCGTGTCAGTGAATCGCGTGACTTTCTCGACCACGTTTTAATTGGCTAATGGGCCGAGGCCGTTTCTACCGTTCGAGAAATGCACCTTTGCAATCACCTTCTAATGCCTCTATGTATTCGTTTACCAATAAAGCAAACTGCCATAAGATGTAGTTTCTACGATTCATTATTCATCACAAGTTAGATTGAGAATGCATATGATTTTTCATTTGATCAGTAAATTTTTCAATACATTTTTATCATAAGTGATCAAACAAATACTCACGAAAGACATGATTCATTTTAAAAATACAGAATATATATAGCGAGAAATATTATGTTTTGAAGATATTAATTACAATTTTTTCAA